TTAGGGCATTATACAACCTCTAATATGAAACATTAACTTCGAAGATATTCCTGATTCATGTACCCTATGAAGGTCATAAGCATTAAGTGCTCTAGGAACTTTTTGGAGAAATGAATTTATTTTCAAGTTGTCCACATTAAAAGTATTCTTAAGTTTAGCTTTGAGCCCCTCTGCAGGATATTTGGTCAGGGATTGATAAATGTTGGCGCTATTTAAATGATCTACCATCTGCTTTATGCAGATTCCTTTATTGATAAAAACAAATTATATATCTCTCTTCTATCAGGATAAACATTTTTTGTGTTGACAATATTTTGAGTCATACTTACATTAACACACCTGTTTGGCATAATAACCTGGATCTAGTGAGGCACCACATTTATGATAATTTATTTGTTATGTTAATCGACTCAATCAATATTGCAATAGTAGTCTTTTTAATTTGGGAAAGTAAAACTTATACTCATGACAGCCTCAAAATAAGTCAGTAATGAAATTTTGGACAAATTAATGGCCTTAATTCTACCAATATTGTACACATGGTTTATTATTTAAATTGCTGAATCTTAAACCAGTTGTAAGTTATCTAATACCCAGTGATCTATCTATGCCATTGGCTAGTTCGATCCCTCTTAAAATTGTAGAATTTGTTCTACAATCCCTGTTTTTATGCTATTTAAGAGGAATAATATATCAATGCTTTCTTTAAGTTTCATGATACTTGGCTATTTTCCTTACTAACTAAATTCGACAAATTTGATCTCCTACTAATAAAATATAGCTAGGAACTACATTAAGTGAGGTAAGCATTCTTTTAAAATCTAATATGGTTAACTTTCCAACAAATATTCCTTTACAATTTTCGCGTAGTTAGAAACAAGATATATGCAGGCTTTTTCGGCCCCGAGGACTCTTCTAGTATATCATTAACATCAAAGGAAAGCCGACAAAAGTGAAACTACAATAAAATCGACGAATGGGTCTCTTCAACTCACACTACGAATCAAAATTAAAGTCGGTCTAACATTGAAATATAATGAGATTCCTCGGAAACCAGTTATTTTATATGATATAATGTTGGGAGGCAGATGCAATATCGTGTAATGCAGTTAATCCGCGTAGTAAGAGTTTTGATAGTTCACTGCAGGACCTAGATTAGCATCACGGACAAAAAACTAGGAGTAGGTTTATCTTCATAATGAGTATGCTTCGATGATATCACAAAAAATGCTAATCAGTACTTCTTACTTTAATATATCTTTTCTATATTCTTCTTAAAGATACCTCAAAAAAGGTGTAACTATGGCGATTCGGCACCCGACGATTCTCACCCTCATATGCATACATCAATACTCACCGATGCTTTGCAGCCGTCAAAGCTTTCAGCTTCTGCTGGAACTGAGTGCTCGTCAATCTCATCTATCTGCGAAACGTCTTCTCTATATCCCTCTAGCATCATTTCCAAGACACGAACTTACAAACCAGAATCTCGGCTACAGACCATCAGGTCCAGTCCTGTCACTCCTCTAATACAAACCAAATTCGTCCCGGTCTGCTTTATGGCAAATCAGAATACTAGACAGCCGGATGACTTCGTTCATGGAGCGAGATCAGCCTCAATACAGCCTGTATCTGGTACTGTCTGGTACTATCAAGGTGAAAGGCAACCGGAGGCGTGTCGATTGGCAGAACTACAGCGCTCACTTAGGTTCATGTCTCTTCGCAACATCGGGCCTGAGATAGAGAAAGAAGGCGAAGATGATGAATCCTGGGATATGAGTAGCCTTGATGAAGTAAAAAGCCTACGATAATACTGTCCAGATGGGCTACCATTAACCATCCTGTGTTCTGCATAATAAAGGTTCATTTCGATTGTATTGAATGTTTCGGTATTTCGACAAGTATATCTCAAGCATAAAAGCCAAAGTCAAGTTATCGCAACGCTCTTAAAAATGAAAGCATATAATCAGAAACTCTATACAAATCATGCATTAATTGTTTCATCATTTTTGTAAAAAATTATTTATTTCTTCTAAATTTGCCAAAGTTTTGTAATGCAACAAGAGTTATAAACCAGTGGTATTTATAGAAGCAGATCAATTTAATGTTCTGGCATTGGCTAACTTTTAGGAGAATAAATTCGTGTGGATGTTGGCATGTATGAGTTCAAGATAGGGGGATAGCAGAACAAAAGGAGAGATACTACGATCGTTTGCCAAAACGGTGATCAAGTTATGGAATTAAATATGTCTCTTTTGCAGAATTGTAGCGTGGTGCTCACTGACGATGCTGACTGACATGCCGGGTGAACGTCTGGGGATGTATACATGTCTGACTATGGCAGAGGGTTGCGGACGAAGTGCATTCATCGAGTTTGCAGTGTCAACAAAACAAATTGTCAAAGTAAGACTGAAAAAACTTGTATACAATGAAAGGAGACTGTGGCCAGAATAGAGACCAAATAATATTATATTAAATCAAAGCTTGATCATGATTTCGGCTATATACATTTGGGGCAGCAATAACAGAGGTCGTTTCGATCGGAAACATTTGCTTGAGCGATCACAAGCAGATAAGAATAGAGCAGCCTTATCTTATCATCGATCTTAATTTGCGTGACGTTGCCAGGCCTGACAGCACAAATGTAGGATTGTTTACAAGCAAGGGTACTGTATTTTCTCAACACAATCCTCTTGGATGACCTTGACTTATTTGATCTTTAATTTCCAAGAACAGAATAGTTTCACTATCCTGGTCATTGGCTGAAATTTAGCCGTCCTAGGATAGTTACTTTTTAGAGTCAAATTAAATCCTAACTATAATAGGTTTATTAATATTGGTTGCATTTGGTAGATGTTCGGATGTAAGTGATGTCAGGTGACTCACTTTCATATCAAAAGATTATTTTCAAAGAATTATATAAACACCTTCACACATAAATCTAATTATTGGTAGTTTTCTTAGAAATATTTTAAATAATTATGGCTAAGTGATGTATAATGAATATTGATTAATTTGCAATAAATTGGATCATTTATCATAAGAATAGTCAGTTTTCAATAAAAATTCGTATTAATTAAATAAACCATTAGAGGAGCTAGTTAAGGCATTTACTTATTCCTTTTGATAGTGTCGATTCGCACTAACATTCAATAAAACGTAACGATAAAGGCATAACGTTAAATCAACATCTTTGGATTTTAATAAATGAAAACTTAGCTGAGAACTTATGTGATCGTGGACCTGGATAACACAAAACACAAGATAGGCTGGCCTAAATCATAACATTCCACAAGAGAATAATCATTTACAGCTACGACGAAGTGAGCAGAAGGATAGATAGGAAAATTCAGGTTTATGTAGGCTGGTATTAGTAAAGGGAGAAAGCTTTATTAACCTCAAAACTGACTTGGACTATCACAACTCACACGGTTTATGATAATTACGTAAATACACACAAGGAAGGCGTGAAAGCCAATCTAGCAAAATAAAATTTAGGTGAAAATATGAAGAAAAACTGGTTTTCGAGGTATCCCTTAGTGATATAATGTGATATGACAGTCCATTTCTAAGAAAGAAAAGGTTGAAAGGAGTTTGTGGTGCGATGTGATTTATAAAGAGGGACTGAAAATTCTCTAAACAAAGGAAGTACTAAAGAAAGTATTAATATCTCTTTATACATTGTTTTATGCTTCGCTTCCTCAGTGGCTCACCCAACTTTTTCGCAAGCTGACATGAAGGCAAAATCAGGAACCAAATAGAATGGTCTAATTGTCCATCCTGTCTCAGATAGCAAAATCCACTCATCCTGTAGCTGAAAATTGATCTGTATTTGTCTACTAATCCTAATGGGTAATTATTCTGAAACAGTATATGCATCTATCTACCGATCTCCTGTCCCTACGGTTTACATATGCTAGTCAAGTTCACAACTATTTTGACTCTATATGTATGCTATTGGTGCGACCTTGTTTTCGCAACTTAGTTAACACTAAATGCTAAAATAAAAGGCTAGGTAACAAACATGCAGAAAACAGCGTTGAATGTTACTACCAAAGAGATATGTTAAAGGATTCGCGAAATTGTAGGGATGCCAGGGAAAAAGAGCCATAGCCCTAGGTATCTGAAGGTGATTTAAGAACTAAAAGTCAAATTTTTACTTAATAGTAAAAGTAAGACTTACAGTGCGCTCAAATTTCACTTAGCGTTACCTCATCTAGGGTGAACTGGAGTCACATGAGTAACGGGATTATGTATTGGATCGTGAATGTCGTGGCGACGTTACCATTCCATATTATAGCGACGAGTATTAGATTACATTTATGCTAAGGGCTAATTAAAATCACATTTAATAAGCCTGATCTTAGAAGCTACCCCGAGGATAGTCTGTCTATTCTCAGCGAATGACATACTATTTATCAATTTAGGCGTCGTATTGCAAGGCAATAAAAAAGGATTGCTGCTCAAAAAGGAAGGACATACATACCTAGTAATGTCAATTTAGATTAGGCTAGCGCTATCACGAAACAGAATACCAAGTTCGGATAGTGAGCATGAACAGAGAAAGCGTTAAAGCTCATAGTTAAACGGGACCTACCTATTTCACATGATCCAGGTGATGACAATAAGACTAGGAAAACCCCTATTGAATTCAGGTAGATATACATGGATATGTTAAAGGAGAATTCTTCACCCATGTCACTAATTTGATTAGCTGGCTAGCATACATAATGAGCGCATACTCGATGAACAAATTTTTATCTTCAATTAGCTAAATAGATAACTGCGATTTTGTAACTTGTTTTGTAAATTAATGCTTATCTCAGGTTGAAATATTTTGTTAAAGTTAGGTTAATTGAGCTCAAACCTTAATTTTTAAAAATCAAAATTAGTCTATTTATGTATGTCCGAAATAGCAAAAAAAATTCCTATGGTACATAAGTTAGAATAGTAATCATTTCTATAAGAAATAGAAGTAGCTAATAATGTATAAAATATATAGAATGAGCGAATGGCAGGCATTTCAAACGAAAGAGAACAGCCTGAATAAGAAACTGTTATGAAAATACAAAGAAAAGAGCAACCGGAGGAAAAGTAAATGGAAAACCCCGGAAGAAAATATCAGTAATAGATCAGCAATTGATAGGGTTGAATTGGGGAGATAATGCCAAATAAAGAGAATATGGAAAGATCGGGTTAATAATTCAAACTTGGAAGTCTATTATGTGCATATACACTTAGCTTCCTATATGTCGAATAAAAATATGAAGGTGCAATCACAATCTCCCGTTAATTCCTATGCAAGCGTATGTCATAGTATCTTCCGCCCACCAAACCAGCTAACTAACATTTGCATAAAAGCGCATCTGAATTCATTCAATCCCATCTGTTTGAATACACCAGTGTATAAAAATAAGCTTCCATGGGGAGCTTATTTAAACCCTAACACCTTAACTACATATAGTGAATTCCAGCACCAAACTGAAATCCGGAGCAAACTCTGTCACCGGGCTGGGATAACAAAGGGAGGCAGTAATTAAGCTCGGCACGTAAGAAGCTCGAAAATCGTACCACAATCCCAGCACCTAGGACTATGCGAGGAAAATCCAGCAAAGTCGAGATCAAACGTCCAGGAGGATTTGTGGATGAGAGGCAGTTGGAGATCTGGATGACTGGGTTATCGATTGTCCCACCTAGTTAGTAAAGAAAAACAGATAGAGGAAGGTGTGGTAAATAAATAGAACTAGAAATAAAGCGTTGCTGCAGAGAATTCGTGGATGTTAATAAATGAAAAAAGGTCGAGAAGTACAGACGGAAGTGATAGAAGAACTCTATTTGATCCTCGAAAACATTAGTTTCGGAGATAAATAAAAGTGGCTAGATCTCGTTTTCTCAGTTTTGTCGGTGTATCAGAGATATCTCAAAGAGCTGCGTCCTACGCATCTGCCATAGTTGCAAATATTTATTCGAGCATCGGAGCGTCAAATAAATATGCCTGGAAATGTACTAGATGAATAATCCGATGCAGGAATAAATGGAGAAAAATATGACATAAAGACGTTGTACTGAGTACGTTACCTCCTACGCCACGACACAAATTGTAAAAACTAAATAGACTAATTTGAAACTGCAAAAAGAAGCTGTGCCTAAAATAAAAACAACGTTTATTCGACCCATGTAACTTGAGGTGATTTAAGAAATTAGTACTTTAACCCGTAGTGATATGAGTAGGCTACACAAGTCCAGGAATTTCACTTATCCAGTTGGGGGGGTCGAATATGCAGTCTACCGTCTAAAAGGCAAGGCTTGGGGTTCATAACATGAAGAGGCCTACTCATATTACTAAGAGAAAGACTCAATTATTAGTGCTTAAATAACCTTGAGCAACCTAGAGTGATTAAATTCTCTTCTCAAGAATTAGTGGTAGTCTCAAAGTATAGTCACATTTAAAAGAATGAGGTAAGGAACAGAGAAAACCTTTTTAATATTTAATTGAAATAGTTAAATTCCTCATTTTTATCTTTGAATCATCAAGGGTTAAGTGATCGACCACAGAAAATGCAAAATTTGAAGGTAATTAAACAATAAAAAATAGATGTGATAAACTTATGAGGAATTTAAGTCACTCTACATTGATTCAGGTGCTTAAATGCCATTAGAAATGATCGTAAGTCCTACTTATTTCATTGTGAAAAATGCCACTGCCGATAAATAAATGTATAATAACTAGAGTCATTAGAGTACTTGCTAAAGAATTAATGATAGTTTCGAAACATTACTATTAAATATAAATAAAAAGACAGTATCTACCAGCCATAGCGAAGGAGTGAAGCCGAAGCATTGACGAGTATGAGCCTTCAGCATTGCCGAATTTTGGCAGAGGAGCATACAAATGTAGTCCAGCCAACCAATAGCCTAACGATCCAATAGGTATGTGGCTGCCTTTCGGAAGGGACTGGTCAGTTTCATTATCCTCAGCTTTCCATACCACAGGGTCTGGGCTCTCAAAACCTAGCCCATAGGGCCTCTCGTCAGAGTCAGAAATGTTACCAACAGAAACAGCATCCCCATCACTTCTGGGCTCTTCTGGTTGTCTGGAACTAGATTCGCTTATAGAGGGGCCTACTATGATTCGAGCAGGAATTAGCTGTGGTTTGGTGGGGCCAATGCTATTAAACTCGAAGCCACGGAGATTTAGAGGGCCACCAAAGAAAAAGCGGTCAGCAATA